ATAATTTTAAATAATTATTAAAATTAATGTAATGCAACTTGTTCATTTCTAAATATGCTATCAAATTATGAAGAAATTTTTCAAATATTTCAAACCGTTTAAAAGTTATTCACACTTTTGTTGTTTTTGCCAAAATTGACATTGCTCCTATTCCTTTCACTTAATATTAAAATTAATTTTACATTTGTGTATCATTTTGTATCTTGCACAAACTATTAAATATTTATATTTGATTAAATCACCTTGATGCAAAGTACGGACAGGTCTTTTTAAAACTGGACAGACCTTTCCTTTTAATAGTATAAAGGAGGATGCATATCCCTTAACCAACATATTTGTCGTATAGTCGGTCTGTTATTACAACGGATATTATTAACAATTTTTATAGAACTTTGGACGAGGAGTCCGAAAATGTAATTTATATTGTCCTATGACCTCGGGTTCGGCCGCAGTTACCACTTTTATCGGGAAAATTTTTATAATAAATATGCCCATGTGATATATCAATTCAATAGAGATTTTAACAGAGAATACGATGGTGTATGTAAAAATTCTATAAACTCTAGGAGTACTGCAAATAATATCGAATTTGTTACAAAAAATGTAATAAATCGATTTTTCTTTTAAATATTTTAAACCCCCACCCCCAAATCCGCCCTCCTCCACCAAATGCTGCCGACGAAATACCTACTCTTGTCCCTCCAATTCCACGCAGACATCATTTAGATATTCTTCGGTATTTGAAATCTCGGGTAGAAATATCGGGTTGTGAAGTTCCGTCCGGGTCCATTCCATGGGTCCGGGCCTGATCATCGGATTCGACAGCCGTGGAAAGCCGAATCCGACGCTGGTCTCCTCCTGAGACAGGAGGCATCCCAGTAGAGGTTTGAGGATCCACTAGAGCCCTGGGGTCCAGCTCTGAGTGGTCCTTTTCAAATTGAGTGTTTGATGCCATAGTAGACATAAAACCAGGATTTTAAAAATGTAATGAAGTTAACCATTATAATTTTTTTATATCCTAACTTAACAGATTATGATAAATTGCTAATAAATTATTATTATTCTTACAATAATAACGTCAATTTTACAAAAAAAACGCCATTTAAATAAAATTTTGTAAAATTTAGCATTATTCTTTAATTTTATTAAATAAATAATAACTTAGTTGAATTCCCCATATTCGATATTATTCTTACAATAATAACGTCAATTTTACAAAAAAAACGCCATTTAAATAAAATTTTGTAAAATTTAGCATTATTCTTTAATTTTATTAAATAAATAATAACTTAGTTGAATTCCCCATATTCGAATTAGTTAGAAAAATATTTTCATATTTTAAAATCTATTAAGATTTAAGAAAATAGAGCACCTATTTTAACTTTTAAAAATCCCCCTAGCGGCTAAACCCTACGATGAATGTTGCTAATTTTTACATATACTATATATTTTAATGTCCTCTACAAGATTAGCTAATAAAATTGACCGGGAGAGCTGGTTAATTAACCCATAGACACGGAGGCATCCTCCTTTAAAATATAACTGGACACAATGTGTTAAAACTGGACAATCTAGTGCAAAAATGGATATCTGGTGAGTCTACTGAAATGTGAAAAAATGTTAAAACCTATGTAGTATTATTTTATGGCAAAGATCCTTGTTTAAATATAAATATTAAATAAAATATTTGGAAAATTAAAAGATAATTAAACCTGTGCATAGGCATCCGGGAACATATATACCATGTACAGTACCTAATACTTATATTTTATATTTTATGTTTTAAAACAATATCTTGTTTGATAAATAATTTTCGTCCTAATTAAACCTTTACATTGTAAATATCTATTAAGGTTAAATTTGTAAACACTTGAGCTAGTTCATATTTCGAACGAAAAGATAAAAAGGACTTTCTATGGGAAAACCTAACAAAAGAGGACGTATTACTAGCTATAATAAAACTAGAAACACCAGGGTAGTGTTATTTAATATTACATTATGCTGATTGTTTGTAGTTTTTTCTCAAAATTATAAGCAATTATAATGTAGTAAGCAGACTGATAAATTAAAATATTATATAATAAATTATGTGTGTTATATTAGTGTGCGGTACTTATAGTGATTTGTGATGCTTAATATTTTAGTTATAAAATTGTGTTTCAGTATTTTATTGTAAAAATGTTGCACATTCAGAAAGTAATAGTTTTGATTTATCTGATCTGATCTAGGTTTACGGTTTATTCGTTCAAACAAAATTAGCAATTAAATCTTGCGGTGCAAAAACGTTGGATATGTGTTTTTTTAGAAAAAAATCTACATTTAAATATTACTGTAATAGTTTATAGTTTATTTATAATTAAAAATGTTATTTTAATTTTGATAATTACATATTTTATTTATATTACCAAAATTATAATGTATATGCAATTAAAACATTTAATTTGTCTCTCATTGTACCGGTATAAAATTTCTAATAGAAAGAATATAATATAAAACTAAATGTATTATAGTACAATATATTATATTTATTATCTATTATAAAGGTGTCGATTAGAAAAGTCATAATTATTACCAATCGCCGTTGCAACAATTTATGTTTCAACCATAACCATTTAATCTATGGATAACAATTTAATCTTTAAATTTTATACGATCAACAAACATGTACAGCAAGTTGATTGTACAACCACAATCAACAGAAACAGTCATAAAGATATGTGCGATGCTACTTATACATTGACAAATTGTATCAAGGATAAATATACAAGTATTTTTTAATTTATTTTAATATTATTCATAAAATATTAAACTGTAACATATTTTAAATAAGCACTATCATTTTTATGACATAATCTGGCACACAACTAAATATAACAAATTGCTATTATGTTTAAAATAGTTATCCTCATACAATCACTAAATGTCAAAAATATTAATTATTGAATAAAATATTGCTCAGGCCGCTTTTATGAAATATTATTATATTTTGTGTGCCAAAATAGTCTGGCTAACATTATATAATGCTAATATGCTTACACTATACAGTAAATAAATCAATTTAGTACACTTAATATTTAGCAACCTATGTATTTCAGTATTTCAACCCATATAAATAAAATACATGTACAATATATCGATAAAAATATTGTTTTTTCATTGTGAAATAAATTGATATTTTTCTAGTATATCATTTTTAATAATTTTATCAGAGTTTATTTTTTATAAAATGTCGGGTTTGATATATTTTAGTATGTTTGTGCTAGTAATTGTTTTAATCACATATGCATTATAATTTTTTAAATATAAAATAAATTTATAATTATTAAACCTAAACAAAATTTGTAATAATATATACACCGCTACCCATGTAAAGTCGAACAGAACATTTACCTGCTTTTGGAAAAATGCAGTACTTTTCAATATATTCTTATCAACAATTATATATCACAATTTAAGAAAATTAATAAACAATAATTATTGGAAAATATCTTTATTTAATGTTTTGGTCAAATAGTAAAAGATTTATCTGATAACAATCCACTGGAAAAGGTAGGGATTTAATTGTTTAAACTTTTGATTTTACTTTTGAATAAACTTAATCCTTTCGTTTGGTTGAGGATTAATAAGAGATAAGCCTTTCACTGTTTGACAAAATCATTAAATAAACATCTAGCTCATAGATAAATTGATAACAAAATGTATTGAAAAGTACTGCATTTTTCCAAAAGCAGGTAAATGTTCTGTTCGACTTTACATGGGTAGCGGTGTATATAATTCAATAAGTAGTATATGTAGATTGTTACTCCATAAAAACGACTTACATTGTTTTTGCACTGGAAGGTTCAATTTGTGACTTAGTTCAATTTGTTGGAATGAATTAAACATAAACCTTGATAAGATAAATAGATATCATTACATTCTTGATGGGCAACACGGTTACACTTTTCAATCGAAACACAAATTTGTGTACTAGTGTACTAAGCATAGAAAATCAATATAAATAACCCACACTTATATAACACACACATCATTCAAGTTAAATAATTACATCGAAACAGTTGACAGTATAATTACATACTAAACACTCTGGTTTAAAAAATGGCCTACGTTCAAAAATTAATTGTGCTAGCAACAGCAGTATGCTCGGCTTATGCGGCGTCGACAAATGGGACTGTCAGCCTGGCCACCAACACTAAATCTAACGGGAACAATTTGAAAGACTACAATTCATGTATACTTACTATACTTTTGAGTGGTAAGTGCGGCGATATCCCGATAACTGGTACCAGTGATCGGGAAATGTGCAATGGTGTCTACCAATTAACAGATTGCATCAAGAGCAATTATGTAAGTTGCCGATTTAAAACATATATTTTTATGTTTAATTATAGCACCATTCACAAGTGGCCTAGATTAAATAGTTGAGGGAGTGGGCTTGCGCCAAAAATCGAACAAAATTTTAATTTTAGAACAGGGTATTATTACTGTATATATGTCGGCAGTGTACAGTGATCACTGATCAGGGTCAAATTCTTGAAAACTTGTGGTTTAACTCAAAAAATACTTGAAAATATTTGACCTTAAATTTAATATAATAATTCGCCAGGTTACCTTGGTATTTTTAAGGAGCCATGAACTCATCTACTAACAAATTTAATTTAAGTTCTAATTGAAATTATATGAATTATTTGCGTTCGCGGTAGATTATCATAATAATAATAATTTCAAATATTGCCACCTTCCTTGGTCATTAACAAAATAATTATAAATGTTAGTGTATAGATACTAACAGTGAATTTAGGCGTTTCTAGAAAAATCTAAACCAGGACAAAACACTTACTAGTCATAGAAACAAATACTGATAATTAGGTTTTTCAAACAAAGAAAATGTGTCTAAACTTGAAATAATGATTAAATCTAGAAATGATTAATGAATAATCGACTAATAAATTAGGAATTTTCCAGATTTATCACATATATCTACATAATGATATATCTAGAATTTTTTTAAAAAATCCACCTAGCACTTATTACAAACTACTGTATAGCATTAAACAGTGATCTTTTTAAGCAAGGTCCATAGAGATGTCTCATAAAATAACAGAAATGCAACATTTTAGGCACCAATGTAAAGTTAATATTACAAAATAAAGTTTCTTATTAATATGATTCAACAATTCACTAAATAGGGTGTCTGTACCGCATCGGACAGGGATGATTTTGATCGCAATTTTGACAGCATTGAGGTGTGCAAAAAGGTTGATGATAAATGTGATGGACAGACTTATACACGACGTTGGTGCAAGGACAATGGCTATAACCCACTAAACCCACCAAAACCACCAATGCCCAAGTTGATTGTCAAGACAAAACACATTGCACTACCTATTGTATTGACGTATGATCATAAGTTTCAATTTGTTAATGAATTAAAGGACTTTTTAAAAGCGAATGCCGGTTTTTGCGATGACCATGATGATATATATTTTAAATCAACCGAATCGCTCGTGGGTAAAAGTCAACCGCTAGAGTGTCTAGTACCAATCGATGCCAACAATCTTAATTTGTGTGAAAATTATATCATCGAGTTCCATGCCAAACCATATCCATCAAAGAAGTATTAATTTAAAATCTCCTAGTATATTTTATAATTTTATTAACTCGTGTAACAGTTCCGAGTTAGAGGTGGATCCAAAGTGCACCTGCACATAAATGGACATTGCATCCAAGCTGTAATGTCCAGACAAATGCATCAATGAGCCTTGATAAAATTTTTTATTTTTATAAAATTGATATTACATATTTAAATTAGTTTATCTATTCAATTAATCATTACATGTATAATTAGAGTATATAAACATTAAATTTTGTTTACTTATTTTCATATTTAAACATTCATTAATGTAAATTTTAGTAAATTAATTCAGCCTACTTGTTTTTATTCGAATTAAAAATAATCAATTTTGTTATTAAAAAACTTTAACTTTTATATTAATAGTATGCTCATTTTTCACAAATAAATGTAATATTGTTCTAATTTAATTTATTTCGATAACTAAAAGGTATCCTTAACTGGTTTAATTTAAAATATATGAGTAGTAGAAGTAAGTGTTGGTCATAAGTTCCTTTTATCCCCATTAGGTAGCGATAATGTCGCTTTAGTTTGGGTGTTTTGCGTCACAATCGCGTTTGATAAATCACAAGTACGCACACACAGGGTTGGGTGGGGACAAAGATTGCTAACTGTTAAGAGGTGTGGGCTAGAAATAATTTTATATTACGAAACTTTAAGTAGTCTATAAAACACTCATGTTTAATCAAAACTTGCAATTGTTTTTGGATTAAATCTTTTGAACGCAGAGTTGGATTTCGGATCTGAGTTCAGATTCAGAATCTAAAAAATTGACAATTTTTTGTTTAATGGTATTAAACATTAAATTCTTAGTTAATTATAATTTGGAATATTAGAGATGCTCAAATTGATAATTTTATATTTAAATTTTCTTAACAATATATTCTTGAATAATCCCACAATTTAATGTCATTATTAAAATACTATTTGTTTAGAGTTAAACCACTAACTACACAATACTATCTGTAAAATTTCTAGGTAGTTTAATGTTTAATGTTAGTTTAATATTTTATGAATATTAAAATAAATTAAAAAATACTTGTATATTTATCCTTGATACAATTTGTCAATGTATAAGTAGCATCGCACATATCTTTATGACTGTTTCTGTTGATTGTGGTTGTACAATCAACTTGCTGTA